ACTGTCACAAGTATGAGTCAGTGGCCAAACACCTGGATTTGGCTCAGGGGACCCTGGGAGGCTGCATGGGTCGTAAGGGTGAAAAAGGGTCAGAAGTCACTGTTTTCACTTCTGTCTTTCAACGGTCACTAAGTGAACTGTTGTAAGTGGAGGACTCCCTGTATTGAGAAGTAGGGAGGGAGAGAGAGAGAGACTTGTCTGGATTCCCCTCCCCCCCCAAAGAAGAAAATCATAGATTTGGGTGGATTTCCTGGGGTGATCAAAGGGATCCCAGATCCCGGACAGGAGGAGAGTTCGGATCCGGGGGAGAAGAGGGAGATTCCGGAGCTCTGAGAGGGCAGAAGGAAGAAGGAGGCGGAACCGTCACCCGGGAGGAGAATCCCCAGTGGATGCCAGGAAAGGAAAGGGGGGTCCCGACCTCCCCCTCCCAGGGAACAAGAGACCCTCCCCCCCCAGGACTCACCTCTCCGGCCAACCACGCGCTCCTCCCTCTTGGCCGCCTCGTAGCTCAACCCCTGGTAGTTGTGTCGGCAGAAGAAATCCACTTCTGCCTTCTGTTCCTGCAGGAGCTGCTTATCTCCGTTCCACTTGTCCGCATCCGCCTTCCCAAACGCCATGACGGCCATGTATCTCCCGAGGTCGCTGTCGAAGCGGACAAACTCCTGCCGGTCGTAGAAGTACCGATCCAGGTACCGCACCCGCTGCGTCCCGTTGAGGAAGAGGCACTCGCCCTTCCTCTGGACCAGGAAATGGGCTGCCAGGAGGAGGAGGAGGAGGAGGAGGAAGGCCGTCAGGAGGGACTCCAGGGCCCATCGGTCCCAGCCGCTAGTAGAGGAGGAGGAGGAGGGTCCCACGCAGGAAGGGGGGAGGGTGGGGGGGGGAACTTCCTTTGAGAGACGGATGCGAGACGCCCCGGGAGGAGGGAGGGGGGACTCTCTCACTCTCAGGGGGAGGCAGACTGGGGGGAGGGAGGGAAGAAGGAGGGGTAGGGAGGAGCCTCCTTAAGGGACCCCCCCTCCATCCCTTGGGGGGGGAGGGCAGGCAGAAACTCCACTGGTCGAGCAGATCTTCTCTCTGCAGGGAACGTTGGATCTCCAGGGGGAGGAAGGGTGGGGGGAGGGCTGGAGGGAAGGGAATATCCACACCTCCTGCTCTCCCTTCCTTTGGGGGGCGGGGAATACGGGGAGGGGGCACAAGGAGGACATCTAGACTCACACTTCTGAAGTCTCCCAGCCCTTCACCCCCCCTTCCCTGGATTTCCCCCCCAACTTTTCTTCTTTCCCCCTAATCTTCAGCCCATTTCCCTCCCTTTGGGTGACTGTCGGGGATGCAGGAGACAGTTCGGGGCAGAGAGAGAAGCGGAGAAAGTGGGAGGGGGATCCTTGCAGTCTTG